TGCATCCGGGTCTCCCTCAGGGGCAATCAGCATGGACACGAGATGAGGTAAAGCAGCAGCAAAGCACTCAAACTCCTCCTGTCTGTCCTCAAGGACGTCCGTGCCAAGAGCACACTCACCCCCGACGGACGGAGGACAGACAGACTCAGACTCAGCAACAAGGCTAGCGGCGTAGTCTAGACGACAGGCGGCAGCAAAGTCAACAAGCTCAGCGACAAGAGCAGACGCAGCACAGGACTCAAAGGTAGGGTCAGTGACAACAGTGGCAAGGAGACGCGCGACAGTAGGACTGGCAGCACGAGTAAGGTCTGACGGCGGGTCAGCAACGTCAGGAAGAGAGGACGCAGGAGGAGACGGCAGAGGGACGCGCTGTGGAGCAGTGGAAGGACGCAGGGTCATATAGTGAGTGCCAAGGACAGGAGGAGGACGCTGACGCGGAGCACGACGACCAGCGCGGACAGCCCGGACAGGCGACTCTGGACGCGACACAGGCGACTCTGGACTAGACTCAGGCGACGGAGGACGAGACTCAGGCTCACGACGCTCAGTAAGACTATCCGTCGGCGCAGTGTAAGGAGAAGGACCAGGCAGCGGAGAGGCAGGCTGTAACTGTGACTGGGACTGGACAGGCGGTGGACTCAGTAGGGGAGGAGTAGGACCAGTAGAGGGCGGGAGACCAAGAACCTGCTGAAGGAGCGGAACGTAGTACGGCCGCGGCCGCTCAGCAACTCCAGCTCCAACCCCCGTAGCAGCTCCAGTCCCAGCAGCTCCAGTACCTCCAGTACCTCCAGTACGAGCACCTCCAGGACCAGCAGCTCCAGCAGCTCCAGCACCTCCAGCAGCTCCAGCAGCACCGCCAGCAGCAGCAGTGCCTCCAGCAGCTCCAGCACCAGCAGCACCTCCAGCAGCTCCAGCAGCTCCAGCAGCACCTCCAGCAGCACCAGCACCAGCAGCACCAGTACCAGCAGCACCTCCAGCAGCTCCAGCAGCACCAGCACCAGCAGCACCTCCAGCAGCGCCAGCAGCACCGCCAGCAGCAGCAGCACCTCCAGTAACTCCAGCAGCACCTCCAGCAGCACAGCTAGTAGCAGCAGTGCCTCCAGCAGCTCCAGCAGGACCAGCACCAGCAGCACCTCCAGCAGCTCCAGCAGCACCAGCAGCACCTCCAGCAGCGCCAGCAGCACCGCTAGCAGCAGCAGCACCTCCAGCAGCTCCAGCACCAGCAGCACCTCCAGCTGCAGGGTCCGTGACACTAGTAGCGCCACTCCGGAGACTGCAGCGACGAGCGTACCACTCTCGGAGCCGCTGGGGAGAGGGCAGCTCCCGCCTAGGAGGGGAAGCACGAGCACGAGCTCCAGCAGCACCTCTCCTGAGGCTGCAGTACTGTAAGTACCACTCACGCAGCTGCTGTGAGGAAAGAGCGCCTCCAGGTGTAGCACTCTCAGTCGCAGCACCCTCAGGCTCAGCACCCCCAGACTCAGCACCCCCAGACTCAGCACCCCCAGACTCAGCACCCGCAGGCTCCGCACCCCCAGACTCCGCAACCCCAGGCTCCGCACCCCCAGGCTCCGCACCCCCAGGCTCCGCACGCTAAGGCTCAGCACCCCTCGCAGGACGAGAGTCGACAGCTACCTCGACAGGCTCAACCGGGTCTACCTGGGACACACCTGAGGGAGCGGCACCCTGAGGGGGGAGGGGGTCTACCACAGCAGCACCTGGCGCGAGGAAGAGAGGCGGGGGGGGGAGCGGGGCAGTGCGGTAGGGGAAGAGGCGGTAGTAGGGCACCGACTCGTCAAAAGTGACGTCCTGAGAGGGCAGGACACGGCGCGAGGTGGCGTGGTAAAACTGCCAACCAGACGCGTCCGGGACAAAGCCAAGGAAGACACAAGGAACAGCGCGGGAGGAGAGTTTGTCCGCGGACGTATCGCGGACAAAAGCTCGAGATCCCCAGACCCGGAAACGCGACGCATCGCCAACCTCCCCCGTCCACAGCAGTGTGGGCGAGGTCTCCGGCAAGGAGACACGGGGCCAGAGGTTGAGCTGATGCGCAGCGTACCGGACCGCAAACGGCCACAGAAAGTGGGGGGCAGCCGCATGGATCAAGGAGGTACGAGCGACCTCCATGACCAAGCCAATGCGGCGCTCAGCAACCCCATTCTGCTGTGGAGAGGCCGGAAGCGTGAACGACTGGCGGATGCCGTGCTCCGCACAGTAGGTTGCCAAGAGGTCGGAGGAGAACTCACCACCTCTGTCAGAGTGCAGACGCAGGACAGGAAAGTCCGAGTGGATCCGCTCGCTGAGCTGGAGACGAGAAGCGCGGATCCAAGGGATCAAAACATCAGGGACCTCACCCTTGGTGCGCAAGGGGAAGACCGTGGTGTAGCGCGAGTAGTCGTCAACAACGATCAGGAAGTACCTCTCCTGACCCTGTCCACGGACACGGGCTGGGCCCCACACGTCCATGTGGAGCGTCTGCAAGGGAGCAGTCGTCGGGGGAAACGAGGAGGAGTGAGGAGCGGCGCGCTGCCGCCCCTCGACACAAGGAAGACAGGGAGGAGCAGGCGAGGGTGGGAGGGGAGGGAGTACCCGGGGAAGACCAGAGACAAGGTACCGTTTGTGCATGCCACGAAGGCGCTGCACTGACGGGTGACCAAGGCGGTGGTGCCAGAGGACGGTCTCGTGTGCTAGAGAGCGACACGAGCAGGGGGCAGACAGCTGACCTGAAGCAGACGCAGACGCAGCTACCTGAGGGGACTCAGTGGTCAGTGTGTACAGGTCCGACCCCGGCTGCCGAGTGAAGGTAGCCAGGTGACGGCCCGTCCGAGCACACGTGCAGTGTGTCACGCGCTCGTAGGCAGGGGTGAACTGGTGGACACCCCCGTCCTGGAGCGCACAACCCGCCACCAAGTTCGTAGAGAACGAGGGGAGGTGGAGACCTGACAGTGTGCCCGACGGAACCGCAGGACAAGGAAGAACAGTGGAGGAGGTCGCAATGACCGGACCCCCAGAGGGGTCAGCAAGGGAGACAGCAACTGGCCGAGCAAGCTGCTCAAGGGCAGTGCGGTCACGAAAGAAACAGCGAGAAGCACCTGAGTCCAGTGTGAAGGTGTGCAGTGCCTCAGTAGACTCAGTACCAGGGGGCGCAGACTCACGAGCACCTAGAGCAGCAGCCTCACCAGCACCTGGGGCAACAGACACACTAGCACCTAGAGCGGCAGCCTCACCAGCACCTGAGGCAACCGACACACGAGCACCTAGTGCGGCAGCCTCACCAGTACCTAGAGCAGCAGACTGGATACCGGGGTCAGGCGGCACACACAGGTGACAAGCTCCCTCGGTACTAGTAGACAATGCATACATTGCAGTGAGAATAGCATCATAGGGAAGAGCAAAGATATCTACCCTCTGTCCAAGCAGCTCCACCCAGTCGGGGAGCTCAGCGTCGTCGCCAAACTCTGTACGCCAAGCGTCAGTCAGACGGGCGAAGCAGTGGGACTCTGTGTGACCACGTGTCCCGCAAGGCTGACCAGTCCAGGCACCCGTGCTAATAACGTACGGGCAGCAAGCAGTACTCAGCGACCCTCTACTCTGAGCGTACCACTCACGAAACTGCTGGGGCGAAAGAGGGTCGCGCGGACGGCGCTGCTGCTGCACCGGGCCACTACAAGAAGTTCCCGAACTACCCACTCCAGGACGACTCCCACTACGGCCACCCCGACAGCCCCAACTGGCGTACCACTCACAAAGCTGCTGGGGCGTGAGGGACACACGCGGACGGCCGTGGAGCTGCATCTGGCCACGCCAGGAGCAGCAGTAGCAGCAGTAGCGGCAGTAACAGCAGTAGCAGCAGGAGCAGTAAAAGCAGTAGTAGCAGTAGCAGTGGCAGTGCGGGCAAGGCAGTGCTCACCAGTGGTAGGAAGGGCAGGCGCAAGACGGCGGCGACAGTAGGGCCGCTACAGCGGTAGGGCGGGGCCGGGCCGCGACGGCAGCTGCTCCAGGGGCCAGGGGCGGCTCCTGCAGTGGCGGCTGCTCCAGGTGGCCAGGGGCGGCCGCTGCAGGGGCGGCTGCTCCAGGGTCCAGGGGCGGCTGTAGGTGCGGCTGCTCCAGGTGCCAGGGGCGGCTGCTGCAGTGGCGGCTGGTCCAGGGGCCAGGGGCGGCCGTCCCAAGGGCGGGCGCGGGGTAGGGCAGGGCGCCGCGGCGAGCAGAGGCGACCCCGCGCGGATCCCAGTGGCGACGCGCGCGGGTCGCGCGGGTGCGTCTCGACGAGGCAGGGGCGACGCGCGCGGGCCCCGGTGGCGACGTGCGGGTCGCGCGGGGGCGTCGCGTCGAGGCAGGGGCGACGCGCGCGGGTCCCGGTGGCGACGCGCGGGCCGCGCGGGGGCGTCGCGTCGAGGCTGTGGCGACGCGCGTGGGCCCGCAGAAGCGCCGCGACGAGGGGGGGGCGACGCGCGGGTCCCGCAGGGTCGTCGCGAAGAGTCAGGGGCGACGCGTCGCGGGGTCCAGGGGCCGCGCCTCGGGGTCCAGGGGCGGTTGCGCGGGTGCAGAGGAGGCCCGCGCGCGGCCTGCAGGGTGGCGCTCGAGAGCGCGAGGAGGTAGGCGCTCGAGGGCGCGGGTAGGGGCGCACGACGGCGCTAGTAAGGGCGCTCGACGGCGCTAGAAAGGGCGCTCGACGGCGCTAGGAAGGGCGCACGACGGCGCTAGGAAGGGCGCTCGACGGCGCTAGGAAGGGCGCACGACGGCGCTAGGAAGGGCGCTCGACGGCGCGAGGTACTATCAGACACGGTCGCGCAAGGGCGCGGCGGAACGGTGGGCCCTAACCAACTTCGGTCCTAGGTCGTGACCTAGGCGTCGGATACCATGTTAGAATGTTGAAGTGAACGAGAATGTGTGAAACTAGGCAGCAGGGTGATACAAGTAGGAAACCCTAGCAATGTTATACCCCCTAAGGCTAAACCCACTATAGCCTACACAATAGGAACATATATAATGTTTGACACGCGATGACGTGTCGGCGGTGGAATCAAGTGACGCGGAGCGTGCCTGCGCTGTGCCTGGGATCGAGTGCCGGAGGCGCGGCTGCTGCTAACCAGGCGCCCTACTTGACTTTTGAGGTGAGTGTCGGTTGGGCCTCAGTCAGATTGTCCCATGGCTGACCTATAATTTTTGCGCCTGCGTTTAAGCTTCTTCGTTCTGCGTTCTGTTCTTGTGTTTTATTTTGCACGGATAATGTTATCTTTTCTCTTTCCTCTGCCGCTCAATTTTCCGCCCTCAACCCCCCCACCTCCCCACACACACACACATCAGCGCCAGGCCTCACGGATGATCCTCCGCACGCAAGCCCTGCGCCACCTCACCATCATCTCGCCCCTCGCACCGCCTCCAAACCACAGAGGGCCGTCTCACCCCAGCCAGACGCCGTCAAGCGCAGGATGCCACGGAACCTCCAGCGGCGGCGGAGGTCCCATGATGATTCCCATCGGACGTTCCGCTCCTCCGAGCCGCGGAGCTTCCGCTTCCGCGTTCTGCGGACGTCCCTCTTGTTCTACCGAGTAGGAAGAACTCGCCGCCTGCGCAAATTGCACCTCCTGTGCCAGCCAGCAAGATAGCACCAGCGGCGGCGCTTCCGCGCAATCCCCCCCGCCCCGCCATCCGCGGGAGTTCATCTTCGAGGCGTGGACGCGCCACGTCGGGCCGTCTCTGCACTCACTCACCCTCTCCCGCGCTCTTCCCCCCACGAATTCCGCAAAGCGCCCTCGCGGCAACGGCACCAGCGGCCGCAGCGGCGGCGACGGAGGCGGCGGGAGCGTGGTGGTGACACCAAACCTGTGGGAGGAGGAGGACGCGAGTATGCACCTCGCACACATTTCCCGCCACTGCACCAACCTGCGGTCGCTCTCATTGGCCCACGTGTCCCTCTCCGCGCCGTCCCTGCTCGCCACTCTCAAGCCCATGCCGGCCCTGCAGCACCTCTCGTTCTCGTGGCTCCACGCATCCCCCACCGCGCTTCACACCGTGCTTGACGCCGCGCCGAATCTCCGCCACCTCACGATTTTCATGGCATCGGGTTTCCCTTACCTAGAGCTGCGCCTTCCTCCGTCCCTCCAGCACCTCTCGCTCTCCTACATCCGCGCGGACTCCATCACGCTTCTCTCCGCGCGCTCCCTCCAATCCCTCTCGATCCGCGACATGTTTCTCAGCGCACTCACCATCCGCGACGCGCCAAACCTGCGCCAACTCTCCGTCGCCTCCGCCAACTGCCTGCTCGTCTCCGCGCCTCACTCCAGCCTGCTCGCGTCAATCGACCTCCGCGCGGGCTCGCTCAACTGGCCTGCCACCGAAACCCTAATTTCAACCAATCGGGCTGCGCTCGAGACGCTCTCCCTCGACTTTTTCGCCACCAGTAGCGCATCGGGGCTGCCCTCGGTTTCGTCGCTGCCCTGGCTTGCGCGGAACTGCCCGGGGTTGAAAAGATTGCGATTGGGTGTGCTGGCGTGGCAGAATATGGTCGACTCAGCTGCAGTGTCTGGTCTTTTACAGTCACAGTGGAAATGTGGATCATCTGGTACACTCAATAACGACATTTTGTGGCCTCGGCTAGAAGTGCTTACTGTAAGAATTGCGGAGAAAACACCCGAAGACCTGCTTCTTCTTCATTCAATTCTTTCCAACATCCCCACACTGATGGGCCTTCATGTGACTGTAGAGAGGGAGGAGGACGAGGAAGAGGAGGAGGAAGAGAAAGTGGACATGGATGAGACGGAGTATGATGGAGATTGTGATGCCACTGGCATCAATGAGTATGACGAAGAGGAGGGGGGATACCACATAGGCAGGGAGACTAACTACTTTTCACACTCTTCTGCTCAACTTTCTGTTGCACGCGCCTTTTCTGATCTAACTGAGCCTAACACTGCACTGCCTAGATTCACTCAGCCTGTGGATTACGGCTTTGCACTGACTGCAGCAGAGAGACAGCGCCAGCTGTTTTTTAAGGGCCTCGATTGTCTACAGAGGCGGTTTGGATGCTTCCATGTAACCTCTCCTGGTCTTCACAGGAGGAAGACTTATTGAAGCTGAGACGAGCTGGTGGTGGCTACCCTTCTGCATAATTTATGTATTAAAAATCTAGAACCTGCTGGGCGCTTGAGCCTACAGGCAAACGAGCTGTCAGGTTGCACAACAAGAAATACGGCGCTGGTGGCTTTCCAGTAGTGCCACAAATATACGGCAACTACATATGGTGGTATTCACTAATGTCATTATAAGCATTTATTACTGTAATTCGTTTTTACACGCCACACTTGAACAAATGGAATTTCCTTACCGTGTCCGCTCACTCAAACGCGTGTTTCTTTCCTCAGAACAGCGAAACGACGCGCCATGATGGGCGAATTTGGTGGCGGGAAGCGGGAGGGATGAGCAAACTGGCTCGGCGGAGAAAAACCTCAAAGTTTTGCGCGCCAATTCGACTCTTTGTCTTCAGTGGGTTGAAGGAATTCACCTTCCATGCTCAGCAGGTCAGCCCACACCTCTTCCCCCATCCCCTCCCCCACCCATGGTCAATGCCGCCCTCGTCAAATGCTGAAGTGAGTGAAGCCCTGCAATGCGGCTCGATTTCTCTCGCGCACATTTCAGATTTCACATTTGCGCACTTTCTTTTGCTTCCACACGGGGAAGAGGAGTTTGAGCCGACTCGGGAAACTAGCAGCTGTCAGAATCAACATCACTCACACACCCACCCAACCCAACACGATCGCACAGAAGGGATTGACAAGGTGAGGCCTTCGTCAATCAAGCTTCGTGCAACTGCAAGTGCCAACAAGAATCTGGTGGAAGCACGGAAAATGTGATGTTGGATGGCCGCTCTTCAAGCAGCTCATACATTTAGCACGCAGCATGCAGCTCACACAGTTTTCTGTTATCGGGCCGTGCTGATGCGCGCGTCCCAGCACTCCCTATTTTGTACATAACATTTCGTATGTAAAGCGGGGCAGCCCTTGGCTCTTTGTGAGGCCCACATTCAACCCTCGACTCGCGGCCTGCGCCCCGTTGCACAACCGTGCCGCGTGAGTCACCGCGAGCGATTGCAAGCGATCTCGAGCGACAATCAACAGTAGGTACCAAGCAAAGGAATGAATTGCCATTTCCCTAGATAGACCTAGATAGAATCAGAGAAAGAGAGGCTTACGAGACAACGAGGCACACGCACCTGGACATTTACCGTGCAGGAACGAAAGCGCTGCCGACATTTCACCCTGGTAGCGCCAGCGCGAAGACCCAAACCCGTCAGTTACACGGTGGTGATGGCGCATCAACAATAATGATTTGCGATCGAGGAGCGCTTATCACAATCGCCGCATGCGCCGTCCCATGCATCTACTTTCCTCTCTCGTCGACCTTCATCCTCCTCCATTTCTAGTAACTGTTTCTTCCATAATTATTCTTGCTCTAAAGTATCCTCTAGATTTAGTCCTTGTCAAGTGCGACCGAGTGACACCTTGTCTCTAGTCACAGCCACCGTCCCTTACGATCCTGCCTTGCGTCGGCGGCGCCTCCCTTACCCGAACCGCGGAGAAGAATACTCTTCTTCTCCCCCCACCCCCCAGGACCGCCCCATTGAAGCTCTTTGTTCTTCGGCCACTTGGACAGTCAGGGACTGCAATTTTCAATGCTTATGAACGCATGAGAGTGCAGTCAAAGGGCGTGCTATTGCAGTTTGGCGTTAGGTTGATCTTCTTGCGCTTCTCGCGCTCATTCGCTGAACCTCCACGTTCACCTTCTCGGCAAAGTCAATACATTATACCCTCTTCTTGACCTCTAGGCACCGACCCTTTTACCCCACCGCCTCTTTGTAGGCGCGTAGGAGAGTCTGTTGAGTTGACGCAATTTCCGTAGGACATTCCAGAGCATCGTTCAATCTCAAGTAGAGAAGAAACGTCGGGCGCGCGAGGGTCAGAGGAGCTTGAGGTGTCGGTTGACGATTTATAAAGGAGGTTCTACGTTCTCTTTGGAAATGACGACGCAGCAAGAAGGCATGCGCGACATGCGACGGATGGTGTGGCGCCACCAGTGGTCATCCTCGCGTAGATTCGTACCTACTCGAGCAGTATTACTCGCACTCGCATCATCGTCACATCGTAAGCTGCTTCCGCTCCTATTCCTCTCCTTCCTCCTCCTCTGCGCGCATCCCGCGCACGCAGCGGCACCAGCATCAGCAGCTCTCGCCCCTCCCACACCCACCAAGTGCGACATGTCGGTGGGCGAATGGCGGTACTCGAAGAACTACCCGCGTTACGTCACCTGCCCGTACGTACGCTCCATATTCAACTGCCGCGGCAACGGCCGCAAGGACCAGCTGTACGAGAAGCAGCGGTGGGTGCCGGACAAGTGCAGTCTGCCTCGGTTCAGCGCCAAGGCGTTTCTGGCCATGATGCGGGGAAAGACGGTGGGGTTTGTCGGGGACTCGCTTATGAGCAACATGTGGGAGAGCTTCGTGTGCCTGCTGTACGCTAGTGGCGTCAATCTCAAGGTGAGTGACACCAGGGAACGGAGAAAGAGTAGGACCACACTAGGAGGGATTTGGTCGAGCCATGATTCCTTGTTACTTCCTCTCCCTGCACCGTGGTACCTGGTTAGGTTATGATTTGTGGCTCCTCGATGAAACCATGCCCGAGGTCTATAATGCTCCGTACACAATACTCAAACTCACTATTTTGCTGCGTCCATTCCCTTTCTGTCCCTGTTTCAGCTGGTCCAAAAGCGTTACGGTGGTTACCGCTACGTGGGGTTCTATATTCCGACATCCAACACCACAATAGTGTACCGCTTCTCGGCGTACCTCATGCGGGCAGTTACGAATTCCACGAAAACTGCAAGCGGCCGAGGCAAACACGGTTACAACGTTGAATTGGATGTCATCGACCCTGCGCTAATGGGAGGTGTCACTAACATGGATGTTGTCGTGCTGACAAGTGGCACGTGGTGGCAGGCGAATGTGCCTGGGAGGGCACAGTCAAACGTGTATAGGATCAAGGGACAGCAGGTGTATCTCAAGGACCTAAATGCGCATAAATATTCGCTCAACGTTCTGCGGAACTTCCTCGGACAATTTAGGTGAGATAGCTACCTGCTTGCCCGATATGTTTCTCTGCGAGTGACGTTTTCCGGCACATGCTGTTATCTAAACAAATCCGCACCCCGTATTTTTTCCTGTGCAGTTCAAGGCTTCTGCCATACTTCATATCATTGTCACCCTCTCATAAGTGGGATCAGTCTTACGCATCAAAGCCAGGAGTATGTGGGTCGGACCGTCCGTTAACCCCCACTGCAGCTGCCACTATCCTTGGCAACTCAACCACCACACTCGACTACGTATCGGCCCAAAGAGCAGCATTCTCATCCCTAAATCCTGTCCGCTTTATTGACGTTACTGCCATCTCTACAGCACGACCAGACGGGCACACGGGAGTATGGGGGGTATTGGGAGGTGGAGGAACGCTTGCTGATGGGGAAGCTGATGATACTAAGAGCAGCAGCACAACTATGCCTGGAGCCTCGAATGGAACAGCTGTGGGGAAGCCCAGAACGACTACACAATCGCAACCAGACTGCAGACACTGGTGCTTACCAGGGGTTCCCGATTCGTGGGTGGATGTCACAGCAGCTGTATGGCAGCGAGAGCCGTCTTTGCTACGGAAGTAAGACACGGAGAAGGGTCGCCAGTGAAGATGCCCAGCGTTAGTACCATGCATTCCGGAATAACTGGCAAAGAGTAGGGCTGGCGTCGTTTGCAAGCCACATGACGAAACGGGGCATGCAGTTTCGTTATGGGGGCATCATTATATAATGACCTAAAACGGGAGTATTGCTCACCCAGTAGGCACAAATACTTCCAATATGGAGTAAGACTGGATAGTGCCACATTGTTCATATGACAGACTACATCTTTGCTCGCTACTCCAAGCAATCTACAGCTAGCACTAGCGGTAATCCCACGTACGTCACATCAGATTCCTCCACCTGTGACTCCAGCCAAGCGTGTCTTCTTGGGAGACAACAGGTCGAGGGCAGAAAGGACCCAAGCATGCAAATCTTTGGCTGGCTTGCTGCAAGATGTGACTCTCTCAACTCCAGGTAGAGTGGCTCTGACAACTCTCACAGTGGTAGCATCTGGTGGCTGACCTTGGATCTTCTCTTCTGCCTCCTTCAAACAGTTGTAGATGCTTGATATCTTGTGCTGCTGGTTCGTGGATGCAGTGATGAGCCGCTTCTGGATGTCCCTCCACACAGCCTTCGTCTTCATGCTTGAGTCATATGAAGCATCACGGAATCCTGTAAAAGATCACAAAGAGTGGTTTGTTATCACATCAAGAAGAATCACAAGGTGCATGAAATATAGGATATTGCATTGTTACCGTACCAATAAGAGTGAGCACGGCTGACCAAAGCTTTACAATGTCTTCAGGGGGCACATTCTTGTACACTGACAGCTCAGCAACGACCACCCTGCTCAGACTTCGGAAAGATGATGCTGGCTGCTTCCACTCCGGGCCTTTTTGGGTACCGTTTCCACCTGAAGCTCCGGTGCACTTGTCAATGCCTGGTGTAGGGGCTGAAGGCTTTTCCAGGACTTTCCCTGAGGTTGATGACCGCCTAGTTGAAGACTCGGAATGAGGCAATTCATTACTTGCAGTTGATGCCTTCTCCCGATTATTTTCTTCTGCAGCTGCTTCCTGATGACCATCCACCCAGCTTGCAGTGTCCGTGGTTAAGCCTGCAGAGCTCATCATGTCAATGCTGTCGCCTGAAATAGATTCAGGCGAGAAGCATGGAGAAAACTTCTGAGCTAGATTCTGCGGCGTTAGCCCATGACGGGTCAATTCCACCTTGGTGGATACCTGATCATAGACGCTGGTACTGAAGGAACGAATCAGGCTCGATGGTTGCATATCTTGCTCGTAACCCCTTGAATCCTTCTCCCAGTTATGCATCCTCGTGCCACGATCCATGTAAGCAGATGAAGCTGTCATCCTGGCTGGATACGGAGAATGGAACTCCGAGTTCATATTTCTCTCCTCACTGAAGTTGGAACGGTTCTTTGCAGAAGCTTGAAACCGGGTCGCGTTGCCCATTGTGACACCCTCAACTTCGTTGACTCGTGGAAGATGGTTGGTATAGTAGGGCTTCGGATTGGTTGGCTTATAGATGTATGGAGACGGCACTGAATAATGATTATCAGGTTCTCCATGCTTCTCCCTCGTCCAAGAAGGTGAGGTACGCGGGTCTAGTGATGCTGAAGTTGCCGTGTATGCTCTGGGTAAGCTGGAAAACGTGGAACGAGAAGAAGGGGACATTATGGGTGACGACGGTCTGTCAGTGGGAGATGCCGATTTTCCACGTGAAATGACGCCACATATCCTCTGCGTCAAGAGAAAAAGACAATATCACATCAAAACCGAGAACAAAAATAAAAGAAAATGACGATTTGTCAAATAGAAACTCCGCCTTACCATCGCCATGACCCTCTCTGCTGAAACCTTGGCGAGCTGTTCCTGATATCGTCTACATTCTAGTCTTTCGCGGTGAAGTTGATCTAGAAGGCGTTGCTTTTCCGCCCTTTCTTCCTCAAGCTGCCTGCACAACCATTGTACGGCTTGGTCAGACATGGTAACCTCAACATCAGTTGCGTTTAGCTTCGTTCCCTCCAGGACCCGAAAGCTCAAGGATCCCCTCTCGTCGTATTGTTCCTCCCCTTGCTTAGGAGTAGCTCGGGACGATGGAAGAGGAAGATCCATGAAGAGCTCGAGATTGTGGTCTGAGACTCAGCTGGGAAGTTTCATTCCTAGAGACTGTCGCCGCCACTGAACCACCACCGAAATTAGGGTTGTCTGACTTCTCCAGAAAGCGGCGCCGAAAACTGCATGCAGGGACTCGAGCGATTGTACTCGGTTGCAACACATTCAGGACAATAGACAGCATTACCGATGTAGGTATTGTACCGAAGCTAAGGTAAAATAGAACGTCTCCAAGTAGATGTGCATTTGCTGCTATGCAGAAACCTAATGTGAAGTGTGAAATTTGCTTCAATATCGAAAATTTTGAGTATATATTTTAGGTTTTGTTTCAGATTTCAAAGTTTTAATAATAATAATTGAAACATTTTTTGTTATTATACATGGGGGAACCAGTTATCAATCTATGCATAATACACTGTTCTATACAGCAAGCTCAACCTACTGAGATTGATTGCTATGTGCAAACTTGGGAGAATTGCTCTTTATCGGACCAAATGGTTCCTGGATGACGCTGACTGTCTCGTCACTGAGCATCAATGGCGCTGGAGGAAGAACCGTCACTTGCCATGGGTGATGCTGGATTGCCTGTCGTCAGAAGCGTTGAACCGGTGATGCAGTCCGAAGAGTTGAACCCTCGCACATCACCTTTGAAATATTCTTCACTCGCTGTCCTCGTGGACTCACCAGCAGCAGCAAGCCTCAGCTACCGGGATCACGAAGTATGCGCTGCGAGGTACTATTGGCGCGAGCGACCGCTTCCGATGCCACGTGGCGAGACCGAATCCATAAGCCGCTTAACCGAACCGGTTATTTCCGATGCTTTAATGGCAAATTCTACAACGAATTTCATGGGGAATACGGATTTTCTGGCGCAGAGCCGGGTGGATCTGATAGGGGAAGGTTCCGCGGGTGTGGGGGAAGATACAGGGGGAGAAGCAGAAGTTTTGGGAGGGTTGGCGGAGAGTGGATCAGCTGCGGAGAGAGGAGAGGATGAAGCGAGGGCGGGGGAGAGATTGGCCAGTGAGACAGAGACGGGGAGGGAATTGCTGGGAAACAGGAGGGCTTCAGGTGGGGAGGGTGGGTTGAAACGAGAAGGGGGTGTGAAAAAGGGAGAAGGGGGAAGCGAAGAGGAGTTGGAGAGGAAGAGGCGGATGAGAGAGAAGAAGCGGCGGCGGGTCCAGGAGAAGAAAGAGAAAGCGAGGCAGGAACGCGTGTTGGGGGAGACTGAGGCTGCAGCCGAGGCTCGGCATCAGGTGCGGAAGCAGGAGGAGAAGAGCCGCGTGTGTCTAGTCATTATGGTAGGGAAGAGTAGGGAAAAGGTCGATGGCCTCCAAGCTAGTATGTAACTGTTCGGATGCTGAAAACTGTCGGGGTCCTGAAACTGTCCGGTTGCTGAGAGCATTCTGTCTTGTCCGAGAGAAAGGGATGAAGCTGTTTGCCTAAGGTTCGCGAAATATCTCAAGAATCTCTTCTTCCCCTCCCCCTTCCCCCCTCCCTTCCCCCCTCTCTCTCAGGCCATCGAAGGGCTCCTCTCAGCAGCGTTTTCCGCCCTCTGTACGCGTTTATATCCGTCTCAAGATGCGTCTTGTTGTTCACAGCGGGTCCTCCCTGTGGGAGCTCAAGAGTCCGCCCTGCAACGAGATGCGCTGCTGGCTGGGAGATGCGAGATGGAGGCGAGCAAGGGGAGCACAGCAGCAGCAGAAACACCAGCAGCAAAAACAACTACATTAACAACGCCAGCAGCAGCAGCAGCAATAGACTTGGTTGCTCTCGGGGACTGTTGGCAATCCAAGCTGTGTGAAATCACCCTCTCTCTCCCTCCCACCACTCCTCCCAACTCGCTCACGCCAACACCCAACAACCCAATCATCCCTCCCTGCAACACCCACGCTTCCCACCCCTCATCTACCCCATGCACCGCACCCAACCCACCCACTCCACCTACCGCATTTGCCCCATCCGCCCCTCTGTTCCGTCACTTGGTGGCGAATCCATATGCGTGCCATGATGCCATAGCGAGATTGCACCTAGGCCTGCAGGAGACCGGGGATGATGCTCGCTTCGTCTTGCCTCCACAGTCCCGGTTCCTCATTGTAAGGAGAGATGGTTTCCTGTTTATGCAGCAGGGAGTTGTTCCGGCCGAGAGCCAAGTAACCAGCTGAAAGTTGCCGTGCTTTTCTCTCTTTTCGTATTACCCCATTAAAAAGCTTCAGTTTTTCTGCTCACCCCAGATCTGTCAACCCATTGGTTCCTCTGTCATTTTTCTCACCTCTCATAGTCTCTGTCACCCTCCACCCTCCACCCTCCACCCTCCACCCACCCACCCATTTATTTCCATCCACAAGTCCAGTGCTTCTGAGCTGCAGCAGCTTCTTCCGTCCCTGCTGCTGCCACCCCCACCCCCATCACCACCGTCAGTATCACCCGCACCACCATCCCCACCACACCCACCACCATCACAGCCACACTCTCACTCCCACAACGCTCAACCTGCATCACCCCCTCAGCAGAACCACCACCAAGGAAACTCCCCCCACCACCACCGACCCGCACCACCGACACACACCCCCCACCAAGGATACCACCTAATCCTCATAGATCCCCCATGGGAGAACAAGAGTGTAGCACGAACCAAGTCATATGCCACCCTCCCCAGTCGGCACCTGCTCTCCCTCCCTGTTCCTCGCCTCGCGTCAAGGGAGCGTGGCGCGGTGGTGGCACTGTGGGTGACCAACAGGGAGAGGCTGAGAAGGTTCGTGGAAAGAGAGCTGCTGCCCGCATGGGGCGCGCGGCACGTGTCGACGTGGTATTGGCTGAAGGTGAGGGGTCAATTGTGACTTGTTGCTGCAGATTTTGTTTTTGTTTGTTTGGGTTTTTTTGAAGGTATTAATATCCCTCTCTCCCTCCCTCCCCGCGCCCCATTGTCTCCCTCCCTGCAGCTCGCCTCTCTCGCTCCTCCCTCCCTCGTCTCCCCCCTCGCCTGCTCGCACCACCGCCCCTACGAAGTGCTGCTGCTGGCTCTCATCCCTCCCAGCACCAGCGATTCACAGCTGGTCTTCACCTCAAAGGCTGCTCTTCACCTTAACGCGCCCCAAGAAGAATTCCTAGAAAAGCAAGAGTGTGGCAAGGTGGTGGGGGTAGACGGGAGGATGGGGGAGGGGGAAGGGAGGAGAGGAGAAGGGGAGGGGAGGAGAGGTGGAGACGAGGGGAGTTGCGAGGTGAGGAAGGACAGGAGGGAGAGGGTGATGGGGGATGTGGCAGTGGGGATGGAAAGGGGGGTTTGTTGGGAAAGGGAGGGGGAGAAGGAAGGGGAGAGAGAAAGAGAGAGTTCGGGTGGCAAAAGTCTTGGTACGAGTAGAGATGGAGGGGAAGGGAAGAGTAGGGGGATGCTGTGGTTCCGTCCACGTTCTGCTGTTGATGCATGTGTGGATGGATCCCAAGGGAGGAGTCGGGGGGTTAGCGAGAGAGGGAATGGTCGAGGAGGGGAATGTGGAGGAGGAGAGAAGGGAGGTGCTGAGAAGGAACGGCAGGGGGGGGCTGTGGATGGGGTTGAGAATGGCCGTTCGGGTCCCGTCGATACGGACACAGATACGCATATGGGCTCACGCACGGGTGTAAGCGATGGCATGGGTTTGGGCATGGGCATGGGTATGAATGCGAGTGGGGTCACTGGTCCCATGGAAGCAGAGTTGCTGCGGCAGACGCTACTAGATGGCCTTGTTCTGTTCAGTGTGCCAGGAGAACATTCGAGAAAGGTTCCTCTGAGAGGTGAGGCACCACCATCACCAGCAGCGGTTAGTAAGTGCTGACTCGACTCACATGTTGCTCTGAGATTATTCTTCACTGTTGTTTGATTAGGAGCACGCACATGAAGGTCCTCTGTTGTTCGTGTCCTTACGTGTCATGGGACACCTTCGTTTTCCCTTGCAAGTCTCGCTTCCACACCCCTCAGTTCCACAACCCTCCATTGATTTAAGTTTCTGTTGTACTTTCTATTTTATATATAATTTTCCTCTGAGCAGTCCTTGCATCTATATTCATACCATAATTTCCTGTTTCCTGATGTCATGTTTTATTTTCCCTTCATGTTTACATGCATTACTATTCTGGTCTAGTTATCTAAAAAAGCTTTGAGTTAATTAGTAAGCCTTTTCTCTATTCTCGCCCCACTTCCTGTTGCATTCCCTTTGCCCCACTCATCCCCAGGCCTTCTTGTTGCCATCACCGCGTCCCTTTTGAACCTCGCTTCACCGCACCAAACAGCACTTCCTGCTGCACACTTTGCCCATGCACACGCTCTGCGGCATGCCAGGAAGAGCCCTGGTTGCTGGGACAGTGGAAAGGAGAGCGAGGAGAGAGAGGAGGTGGGGGAGGAGAGGGAGGAGAGAGAGGAGGGGGGGGAGGCGATAGAGGAGGAGGAGGAGGAGAAGGAGGAGGAGGAGAAGGAGGAGGAGGAGAAGGAGGAGGAGGTGGGGGAGGAGAGGGAGGAGAGCGGGGAGGAGGAGAGGAGGGGGGAGGTGAGGGCAGTGGAGCTGTTTGCACGAGACATGGAGGCAGGATGGACATCATGGGGCAACGAGCCCCTTCGGTTCCAGCACCACCAATACTTCCACACCCGAGTGTGAATTTATTTTCTAGGTTTTTTATAGTTTATGAAAATTGTGGGGTAACGAGGTTTTCAAGCTCCAGCAGTTCCACTCGCAATTAATCTGTTTGAAAAGCCTTTTTATGTACCATTTTGTTGCAGGTGCGATTTCTTCATCTCAAAGCATGACGGCATGCAGTGTAGTGTACACTTTGGCCGTTGCATGTTTTGAGGTTCTTAGATGCCATATCACCATTTACTGCAAGGCAAAACACTACCGTATAGATATAAATATATATGTTATTTGTATACATACATTATGCATTGGCAAGCTGGTATTATTCGTGCAAAACATGCTCATAAATAATAAACTACAACTCGTGTTGTACGAGCCTTCCACAGGAAGTATTCTTCCTGCTTCATCTTGAAAAGGCCACGGCACAGCGACGGTTGAAGCCACAGCAGGTGACGGCATAGTGTTTGTGGCACACACGTGTGTTCGTTCACCAAAAGGTGAGGCGCTGAGGCGACAACTCACAAGTGTCACCGCTGCGCACCACCACTCAATGATTCCCCCACAGCCGCACGCGGAGCAGCAGCGTCCGCAGCGCAGCATCACAAGCAGGTGTGGGTCAGAGTCGTTCAGTGAACGGTTTCTCGTTGCATTGACAAGCCATTGCAGTGTGCGAAGCAGCAGGTTGAGAGGTGCTGGTTCCTTCTGCTGACGCGAATAGAGATGATGCCGGGGAAAGGGAAGCGCGGCCGTTGTAACCTGGCGGGGATGTAACAGCGCGTGGATGGTTTCACATGTTGGGAGAAGGGGGGGAATGGAGCATGAGAGGGGGCGCATGAGAGGGGGTTCCATGGAAGCATATACAAACAAGCGCCTTGAGGGGGTTCCATGGAGGTGTTTCATTCATAACGTGTGTAGGAGCACATGATCTTATGTGTGGGATAGAAAGAGATACGCAGGAGATAAGCGGGGAAATCGCGGGCGATAGGGGTGGTTTAGTCTGGTAGAGGGGGATAGAGAGGGATAAAGGCCTAGTGTATGCAAGTGTGTTGGAGAGGGAACATAGGGAAAGGAGGTGAGGATGGAGGGAAAAGGAGCGGAGGGGGGGGGAAGAGGGGAAATAGGCGAGACTGAGACATGCAAGAGCGGGGGGGGGCAGGAAGCAGGGATAGGAAAGAAGAGGAGGGAGAAGCGAATGAAGAGGAACGAAAACAATATAATCTGGGTGAGCATGAATGAACGACCAGGGACGGAATGCTCACCCACAGACAAGCTGCACAACTCCCAGCGTCCGCATCCCCATCCCCACCATCCCCATCCCCACCATCCCCATCCCCACCATCCTCATCCCCACCATCCCCATCCCCACCATCCCCATCCCCACCATCCCCATCCCCACCATCCTCATCCCCACCATCCCCATCCCCACCATCCCCATCCCCACCATCCCCATCCCCACCATCCTTATCCCCACCATCCATCCTTATCCCAATAATTTCCATCCCCCTTATCCCCATCATCTTCCCCCGGCCGGCCTACCATCATCTTCCTCCTCATCTTCCGACGAGTCTGAGTCTGTCTCAAAGTACCCCCCCCCTTCCACTCCTCGCCACTCCTTCTCCTTCCACCACCCTTCGCCCCCCTCCTCCCTGCCACCTCTCCCTTCTCCTCTCCCTTCTCCTCTCCCTTCCCTTCTCCCCTCCCCTCTCCCCTCCCATCTCTGCTCCTCCTCCCTCACCCCATACACCATCACAGGCCCCTTCCGTCTCCCACCCTCTCCTCTCCCCTCCCCACTCCTCCCTCCCCCCCTCCCATCACCCATCCCTTCCCCCTCCCTCCCTCTCCTCCTCCCCTCCTCCCCTCCTCTCCCTCCCCCTCCCCGCCCCCCATCTCCCCCCTCCCCTTCCTCCCCGTCCACCTCTCCAACCTCCACGCGAACCCCATCGGGAAGAATGCAGTTGCAGAGCAGGGCAGTGCGGGCGAGGCGGTTGATCCAGGAAGGGGGGTCCTGGTCTACGAGCAAGCGGCAGAGGTCGGACGTGAAATGGTTGCAGTTGCGCGAGATGATCTGGTAGCTGATTCCCGTGTAGCTGCATGCTAGCTGCTGCACTATGGATCGGACCTGGGATGGGCATAGGGATGGGGGATGGGGGATGGGGATGGGCAATTGGCATGGGGCATGGGGCACGGGGATGGGTATGGGGATGGGTATGGGGATGGCTATGGGAACGGGGATGGGGATGGGAAAGGGATGAGCGAGATTTCATTTCTGTCTAAATACAGGAGCACCAATAACATTGCAGCATGAGTGGCGGTTCTGAGAAACCTTTGCACAATGAAAAGAGCAGGAACACGGGTCACGCACGCGTGTGAGCTATGCTACTAGATCATCTCAGCATGAGTGGCATGTCAACACGCAGTGCATGTTAACACCCACCACCCATCACGCACCACACACCACGCCCCACCCACCACCCACCCTCGCAGCAGTGACCTGCAGAGGGGAGATCATGGTGGTCCCCACGGGGACATGCGCCATGCACAATGCACCACCCACCACGCACCACACACCAGTCACCACCCACCACACACCGTCCACGCAGCACATTCCAGTCACCTGCAGAGGGGAGAGCGAGGTGGTGCCGACGGGGATGGCGGTGCGGAAGAGGAACCCCGGGGCGCAGCGGGGGGGCAGCTCAAACACGCCGCTGCACGCCTGGTCGTGCGCTCCAAACGCGTACTCCACGCCATGCACTGGGGGGGGAGGGGGGGGGGGGGGGGGCGAACAAGTTATGGCAGGGGGAATGGGGGTAACGGAGGGGCTTTAGAGTCGACCCAAACGCATACTCGACAACGTGCACTGGGGAAGGGGGGGAGTGGGGGACGGGGATATGGAGGTGAGGGAGACGGACTGATGGGAGCGGGAGAGGGAGGGGGTGGGAGTGGACGGGGACACGGAGGGAAGGTTAGGAAGGGAAAGCAGCGGAGAGAGGGAGAGCGGAACAGGGGAATGGGAATTGTGTGATGCGGAACGGGAGAAGAGAAACGGGGATGGGAGTTGAGGTTGATTACGTATGTTTCACAACAGGCACTGCTCGGGGAGGAGGATGGGATGGGACGGCAGCCATGAGGCTGGAAGAGTCTAACGGATTGAGAAAAGGGGAGAAGAATCCGATCACCTTTTGGGGAAAAGACCCTTCGAGACACCTTCGAGACACCTTCGAGACACCTTCGAGACACCTTCGAGACACCTTCGAGACAAGAATCCAACGCACCTTCGAGGCCCGAGTGGAAAACCCCCAGGCCGAGCCAATAAAGAACGTCGTTATATCGAGTCAGATCGTAGACGTTAACGTAAACGGGAGTTCCTAGCAGGCGCTGCGACTCATCCGCCTTGTCGTCGCGCCCGCCTCGCCCCATCGCCTTGCGCGCGCGTGCGCGTTGCGAATCACATGTGACACTATCGAGGGGAGGCAACTCTTTCGCAGAGACCGTTCGTTACTCGAGATGGTACTGCGGGCCTTTCGCTCAAAAGGCTTGTCGATTCAGTAGCTCAAATTACTCTTTTGCTCCAGCACGCGCGCAAGTCTTGTGTTAGCAGCGGGAATTGATGAATTCACCAAGTTCTGATACGTCTACGTCCCGAGTTTCAAGCAGTCTCAAAACTCGATCACTTATGCACCATAAGAAATACGGAGAGAGCTCGCGGCTCGCGAGGGAGGAGGGGAAAATCGCTCACGTGTGACCAAGAGGCGGTGCGGTGCGGTGCTTCGGAAATGCCGGTGGGGAAATAGTTTGCCTTTCTGTTCCGTCATACCTAAAGGCGCTGCGATTCTGACAGGCCACTTGTCGACTGGTGCTGAATGTGGTGGTTGGACGGCGGATGCTCGTTAGGGAGTCGGCTGCCGAGTCTCTACAGAAAGGTACACCCACGCAAAATGTAATCGCAACAATGCTGAATTCCCTTTCTGCAACATTTGTTATTCTTAACCATTCATCTAGTCATGAATACTCACCATCTACGGGGTCAATGTGAATGGCCTCGGGGGCTGCGGTAAACGAACCAAGAACAGGCGATGGCTGCGCACGGCAGCAGATATTATGGTACTTTCTGACACGAGGGTTAAAGAGGATCATAACTTCTCGACTGAGATCAAGCCGAGCGCGTGGGCTTCGGTCGGTCAGAGCCAGGCGGCAGGCGGGGTTGCTGTCATGACTTTCGGTAGGCATATCCGCTTCTCAGATGTCACGCCAGATCCATCTGGAAGGTTGATGGGGGTGACAGTGGAGGGGGGGGAGGAGCACTTTGTCAAATGTTGATATTTGTGATAGGCTGTAGTGAGGTGCTCCTTAGTGAGTACAACTCAGTTAGGGTTTGCTATTTGTATCACCCACATTCCTAATCTCATCATTCCGTTGCATTCTATTTCAGTGATGGTATCACGAGTAGGTTTAGAATCATTGCCTAGCCTAGCCTAGCTCGCGCCCTCGAGCCCTCCGCGCCCTAGCGCGCCTCCGCGCCTTACGCGCCCTCCGTCACGCACCCTAGCGCCCTCCGCGCCCTAGCGCCCTACGCGCCCTAGTGCGCCTCCGCCCCCTAGCGCCCTCCGCGCCTTACGCGCCTCTGTCACGCGCCCTAGAGCCCTCCGCGCTTAGCGCCCTCCGTGCCCTCCCTAACGCGCCCTCCGAGCCCTCCGTAACGCGCCCTCCGCGCCTCCGTACTATGGCTAGTCACCGTCTTGTCTCAGGTCTCCCTCCCGTCTTCCCGTCGCTCCCTCCCTCACCTGCGCCGCCGTGCACTCTTTGCGTCGCCGGCCGTCTTCGTGCCACTCCGCACTCCTCCTCCCTTCGTCCGGCCACTGCTCCCTTCCAGACACTCCACTTGGATGTCTGGGGCCCTGCACCTACGAAGGGACCTGAGTGGGAGCGCTACTTTCTTGTGGTCGTCGACGACTTCTCCAGGTACACCACGGTGTTTCCTCTCGCGAAGAAGTCCGAGGTGACTTCTACGCTGATCCGGTGGCTTCTAGCCACTGAGGGCACTCGTGGCCGTCGTGTCTCCTCTCTCCACTCTGACCGTGGGGGTGAGTTTCGCTCAAGCATTCTTGCCGGATTCTGCGGCGAGTAGGGCATTGTACAGTCCTGGACGCTGCCGGAGTCCCCACAGCAGAATGGGGTTGCTGAGCGCCGCATTGGCTTGGTCATGGACATCGCCCGCACGTCCATGATTCATGCCCGTGCGCCCCATTTTCTGTGGCCCTACGCGGTTCGCTACGCCGCTCACCAGCTGAACCTCCAGCCGCGCTTCTTGTGGCCAGAGGCTTTACCGACCAGTCTTTGGACCGGGTCCCCTGGTGTTGGGTCAGCTTTTCGTGTCTGGGGCTGCCTTGCACTTGTCCGCGACACCTCTGCAGACAAGCTCTCGGCTCGCGCCGTCCCCCGTGTCTTCCTTGGTTTCCCGGTAGCCTCGGCCGACTGGTCCTTTTACCACCCGCCCCTCCACCAGTTCCTAGACTCCCGTGACGTTCGGTTTGACGAGTCAGTGTCCTACTACACCCGGTACCCCTGTCGAGGTCTCCCGGTTCCCCCTCCCCCCCTTTTCCTCGCACCCTCTCTTTCCCCTGCTCCCGCTCCTCCGGTACCCCCACCCCCCCCTGGTCCTGCTTCGTCAGGTGTGTCTCACGCTACCCCTCTACCCTCGGTCGCGCGTCAGGTAGCGTCTCCCTCCCCGCAGTCCTCCTCACAGTCCCCTCAGCAGCCTTCGGTACTTCCGCGACAGGTTACTGTGGACTCGGTTGGTGTTGGAGCTGGAGGTGCAGCCACTGGCGGTACTCGGTCTGGGGGTGCTCGTTCGAGGTGTGTTGGAGTTGGAGGTGCTGGCGCAGGTGGCGCTAGCCCTGGGGGTGCTGGAGCTGGAGGTCCTGGCACTGGAGGTGCTAGTTTTGGGGGTACTGGAGCTAGAGGTGCTGGCACTCGAGGTGCTAGTTCTGGGGGTGCTGGAGCTGGAGGTGCTGGCACGGGAGGTGCTAGTTCTGGGGGTACTGAAGTTGGAGGTCCTGGCACAGGGGGTGCTAGGACAGGGGGCGCTGGAGCTGGGGACCCTGACCGTGTTGCTACCCCTTCTGGGGACACTGGTACTGGGGGTGCTAGTTCTGAGGAGACTGGAGCTGGGGGCACTACGTCTGTGGAGAGCACTCAGCCTCCCCACCGAAACGACACGCGTTACCAGGCGGCCTGCCGGCGTGCGCGCGAGGAGCAGGAGCGGTTGGAGCGGGAGCGGCAGGAGTTGCGGCAGTTGGACCTCCTGGAGCAGCAGCAGCGGCAGCAGCCGCCGCATCCACAGCACTCCCTCTGGAGCGGCAGTTGTTCCCGTCCGTGAGTGGCCTTCGGGCCCTTGGTCTTCCCTCCTCTCCTCCTGTTCGCTCTCAGCCTCCCCCTGCGTTTGGTCCCACGTTTCCTCCTCCTGTCGACCGTCCGGCGGTCTGGTCTTCCCCTCCACCGCAGTCTCCTCCTCCTGTTGTCCGTCACTACCGTTCCCGTCCTTGTCCTCCGGGTGCTCGTCCCTCGTCCCCCGTTACCGACCTCCACACTGCCCTCCTTTGTACTTCTCTTCGTCGTTCTCCTCCTTCGGTGTCCGTTATCCTGTCTCCTCCTCCGTCTTCTCTTCCTGTCTCCCCTACTCCTATCTCCGACTTCTACCGTGTTGTTCGCCCTGTTGTCTCCCGGGTTCTAACCACTGTTGTCACCGACCCTCGTTTCTCTCCGTCGTCAGTCTCGGCTCTCACTTCCGGTGTCGCCGACTTTGCCGCCGCCAGCCGCCTTGAATATCGCACTGGTGTGGTGCCCGCTCCACCTACCCGTCCTCTGTCCGTCGAGGGTGAGTTTGCCCTTGGGTGTGACGTCTTAGACAACAGGCACTATGAGTTGGAGTACCTGGCAGCCGCTTCTCCCACTCTCTGTGCCATGCTGCTTTCCCCTGAGGGAGACCCCGACGCCCTTGACATACCAACTCCTCGCACGTACCGTGAGGCAGTGTCAGGGCCGTGGGCCTCTCAGTGGAAGGCGGCCATGGACTCAGAGTTGGCGTCTTGGAGATCCACAGGCACGTACGTCGACGCAGTTCCCCCTCCCCAGGCGAACGTAGTCGATGGCATGTGGCTCTTCAAGGTGAAGCGGCCGCCTGTATCACCTCCAGTATTCAAGGCGCGCTATGGCGAGAGGCTTCAGTCAGCGCGAGGGAGTTGACTTCTTTCAGACCTTCGCTCCGACCCCGAAGATGACTACACTTCGGGTGTTACTACACGTAGCAGCACAGCGTGACTACGAGCTCCACTCCCTCGACTTCTCCACTGCCTTTCTGGCACGAGGAGATCTGGCTGCGCCGTCCTCCCGGTTTCACCGGTAATTTCCCTCCTGGGACCCAGTGGAGCCTGAGGCGACCAGTCTACGGTCTCCGCCAGTCGCCCCGTGAGTGGCACGACACTCTTCGTTCCACGCTTCGTGACCTAGGGTTTCGCCCTTCCTCTTCTGGCCTGTCAGTGTTTGTTCGTGTCGGTTCCACTCCTTTCTTTATACTCGTCTACGTCGACGACTTGGTCTTTGCTACACCAGACAGGGCAGCTGTGGCTGAGGTGAAGTCTGAACTGCAGAAGAGACACACGTGCACTGACCTTGGTGAACTGCAAATCTACCTTGGCCTGCAGATCACCAGGGACAGAGCCGCTTGCACCATCACGTTGACGCAGTCACACATGGTGCATCATGTCCTTCAACGGTTCGGGCTTCAGCACCCCACCACACAGCCCCCTCCTCTTGTTGTAAACCACAGACTCCCCGGCCCCTTCCCCGACGAGCCCTTTGAGCCCAGTGGTCCCTACCCAGAGCTTGTTGGCTGCCTCATGTACCTGATGACATGTACTCGCCCGGACCTCGCCTACCCTCTTAGTGTCCTCTCTCGCTTTGTTGGATCTGGGAGGCACCGTCCTGTTCACTGGACGGCTGCCGTGAGGGTGGCGAAGTACCTGGCGACTACATTAGGCATGGGGCTTGTGCTTGGAGGGACTCGACCAGTTGAGCTGACTGGCCGCTGTGACTCTTCTTACGCTGACGACGTGGAGACTCAGCGCTCGACCCAGGGTTACTGTTTCAGTCTGGGAGCTGGGGCTGTGTTGTGGAGGTCCACACGGTCGTCGTCGGTGGCTTCGTCCAGTGCGGAGGCAGAGATCTACGCCGGTGCTATGGCTGCTCAGGAGCTTCGCTGGTTGACCTTCTTGCTCGCTGACCTTGGTGAGCGACCTCGCACTTCTCCGACCTTGTTCGGTGACAACAAGGCCATGATTCTCTTGTGTCACGAGCCTCGACTGGGGACCAGGGTGAAGCACATCGACGTCCGGTACTTCCTCCTGCGTGAGCTACAGCGA